TGTCTTTGTCTTGCACAAGCACTACGCGCGTGGTGGAGGATGCAGAGACGCACCCTGCCACTCTCAGGGTGTGTCATGGCCTAGAGCAAGAGGCCACACGTGGGGATGTTGCAATTAATCTTTGTGTTAATAATCTAATCTCACGGTTCTCTGTCTGTTTTGGTGATTGCAGCTTTCCCAGCGCTTGGCACGAGTGTGGGTGCAAAATGGCCTTCAGCAGCACCCTCGCCCACCTGGCCTGTGCATGCAAGGCCAGATGCATCTCCCGGGGGTGAAGGCAGGAGATGGGTGTTCGCCTCCATCCCTCGCTCCCGCGGGGAACGCTGTGGCTCTGGCCCCGCGGGGATCGGTGCCGCCAGCTGCAGCCAACACAGAAACCCTGTGGAGCCACTGCCCGCCGGGGAACAGGCAGCCACCACCACGGGACGCAACGCGGAGGTTGCACGGGCGACGGCAGCTCTCCAGGAGCGCTGCGTCAGCATTATAATCATTAGAGATGCTTACTCTTGAATAATTGCAGTAATTCATCTTTAATAATTTAACCGCCACAAATACTTATCACACAGTCTGTTGCACATAACTCCTGCGTGACTGATGATGCTACGCTCTTATCCAGGTTGAAATCGAGAATGACGCAGGAGTTACCTTTCAAAATGCTGCTCACGTGGCCCTGCCACCCACCAGCCCAGTGGGTGGGAGCCTGCCGGGGCCACCAGCAGCAGGAGCAGCCCGGGGCTGCTGTGCCCTTTCTCCCCGGCCACAGCGTGCGCTTCTCAAAGGCCTGCAGGTTTTGCTCTGCAGCCTGTGCAGCGCTGCCAAGCCCTGACAACGTGCCAGGGGTGGTTTGGGGAGTGCACAGGGGAGGTTTGGCAGTAAGTGGGCTGTTTGTGAAAGCCCATTTCCTTGGGGGAGCCGGTTACTGACTCTGCGGTTGCTTTCCCCACAGATGTACAGAAAAAAACCCAACAATAGGAAAATTGTTAATTATGGGAGACCGCATTTCATTGGGTTTATGATTTTCAGGATCATCGGAATCAACCTACTGACGGGTGGTGGTACTGCACAGTCCTGCGGGGATCGCGGGTGCTGGTGGAAACGCTGTCCCGCGCCCTGGGGTACACGAGTGGGTATGTGGAGCAAGGCATGCCACAGTGACCCCCCAGCATGACCTTAAAGGTAGGTCCTGAAGCACCTTTTCAGGATTACCTGGTGGAAAAGCCCCCAGGAGCCACCCTTACCTCGTGTCTTGCTGGGTGCATCCCAGAGCTGTTTAGCAAAGTCTTTGAGTGTAACGAGCAGAAATGTCGAACACTGGCAGTGCATGTGGAGACTCACTCTTGGCAGGGAGCAGTGCAATCGTTTCACAGTGACAGAAAGTGTCCCCCGGACCCTGGGCCTGGCAAACCTCTTAGCTGTTTGTCTGACAGAAAATGCAGTTGAAAGCACAAAAATAAGTACGTATCAAAGCTTGTAGCCAAGCAAAGGAAGAGGAGGAAGAGTGGTCGTGGCAGGTGAGGACCGAGGAGAGCCTGGTTTCTCTCCAGTGTGCTCAGGGACTGGTTTTCTCCTGTTTCCATTTTTGCAGTATGTCATTTGCTGCCTTCAGTGTGGCCTCCTCCTAAACAAATACCGCAGGTTCAGTTGGTGGCCTCCGGCCGAATGCCCTTTCCCTTCACTGCAGTCATCATTATGTAAAAATCCCGTTCTCATTCTGGAACATCGCAAATGCCCCATGCTCTGTATGAGACAGGCACAGCATCTCCGGGGCAGGCATAGACACAGGGCAGTTAAACACGCACCCAGAAGGCTCCCTGTCTTGACCAAGAAATGTGGGATGCTGGTGGGGTAAAGCTGAGCATGGCACCAGCACACCTCCTGCCCCCGGCTCGGCTCCTGTGTCTGCAGGGAGGGGTTGGACCAGCTGTGATGCCACGCTCAGGCTCTAACGCCCAAGGTGCTCTGCATTCCTTTTTGGCATTTATCTCATTAAATCAGCCCTGATTATTACTCCCAACCTCGCCTTCCTTTGCGCTGCCGTGTATCTCACCTTTGCGAAGCAGAACCGGATGAAATGGTTGTACTTGTTCTTGTGGGCCCCACAGTAGAAAGAGGAGAGCGGGATGGTGGCAAGCCCCTGTGAAGGAGAAACACGTGGAGCTGAGGCTACTCCCCTCGGGCCAG